TAAAGTATGGAACCAGTCAGTATTTAAGTGGAGTTTTGTTCTCTCAGTTGAATGATTTAGTCGTGGAGCTTTCATTGATCTTCTGAAGAACATTTTCAGCACAAACTTCAGGTAGAAGTGAAATATTCTAACTTCTTCACATATGACTCACAGCTTGACCTGTGGACCTCTATCATGATTGCTTATTTTTTACCTTTAACCTGTCATTGTTTACTTCATTTATGCTGATAGTGTTGTTCGAAAGAATAATGAAAGCTCCAAGATCAAACTATCCAGATCAGAGAACAAAAATTCACCTAAATCATTCACTTGAACTACATATCTTCTCCACCATCAGCCAGTATGGCAGTTTACATCTAATCTGTAAGAGCCATATATATAATCATTTTAGATAGACATTTGTTGAATAGTGTATTGCGATAGAGAGAGAGCTTTTGTTAGTGTTTAATTACGTACCTAAAATAGGATGTTGTTTATAAATTGATGAATAATTAGTGTCATGTGCCTTTTTACTAAACTTTGCAAACAAATTCTTAGTCTATTAACTGAACAATTGTTTTCAATAACTTCATCATCAGGTTCTACATTTATAAGTCCATAATTATTATGATATTTTATCCGAAACGTAGCAGGTGACATTTTAACACGTCGACTCATAAGATCTGTTGAAAGGACGTTTTACACCACCAAGTTACATATGTTTCTCTAAGCCAAACCAGTGCTTACACAACAAATCAAGGATAGGTTGCCGATTTTGGGCTTCTCCATATGTGTATATCTATTCAACTGCTCCAGTGGAGCTACTTACATAAGCCATACTCATAGGGCTATATCCTTGCGTATTCGTGAACATGTACCAGTATGGTTGGGAAAAAGGGGTCACTAAATCGATTAACAGCGCTATACTTTTTCACTTGGTAGATGGCGGACATCAAATTAAGATAGATGAGGCTTTCTCTTTTATATATCAAGTTCCAAAGAGCCTATATATGGGAGTTAGATTACGGCAACTCTACTTAGCTGAAACCATCTGGATGAATTCCAGAAAACCAAACTTCTGCATCTAGAAAAAGTATTTTGATGGAGTTTTGTTTTCTGAGCTGGATAGCTTGGTCGGGGAGCTTTCATCTTTATTCTGAACCACGTCGTCAGGACGAACTTTAGGTAGAAGTAAAGTGTCTTGTAGACCTCAATGTTGATTGGTTATTGTCGACCTTAAACCTTTAATTCGAACAATTGATTGATCACTGGGTGGTGATCAATGTCATTTGTGTCAGGTCCTTCTCAGTGCAGATCGAACGCTATCGACCAAGTTACAATGTGGTCACCAGTCTAGGTGACTCGACATCGCGTGCACGATGTTGAGATAAGATATTAGTTGGAGGTAGTCAACAGGAAACCCTGGACCTGTGTTTCGTGCTACTTGGCACTCGTCAGAAAGGTGTACCTGTAATCATGAGTGAACTGATGCTCCCTGACGGATCCGAACCCGCGTCATCTCCATCTTATCCCAACACAATGCACGCAATGTCGAGTCACCTAAAGTAGTGGCCGCATTGAAACTTGGTCAATAGTATTCGGCCTGCACTAAGGAGGACCTGAAATACATGACACTGATCATCACCCAGTGATCAATCAATTGTAAACATGTCTCAATCCTACAGGAAGTCAGTCACAACCCAAATAGCTCAATAGTGACTGTGAAGCTAGATGACACGGAACCGAATCCATCAGGAAACATCAATTCCCTCAAGATTACAGGTACACCTTACTGACGAGTGCCAAACGACATGAAACCTGAATCCAAGGTTTCCTGTCGGCTACTTCTAAACATTATCTCACTAAATGTTGTTGATAAACGTGTCAACAATAATACAATGTTCAATATTAACTCACATACTATCTGATTATTCCTAAACGACAATTTTTATATCAATACTTATAATCATTTTATAATAAGAATAAATGAATAATTTGCTGACTTTGATTTTTCATTCAATGCACTATTTACGTTCATCTAGTAAGTTAACATAATGCCATCTTTTCATAGAATTAATTACCGGAATATGACAATTCACATCCAAATACATTTCATTATAATAATTAGTAGGATTCAAATGAAGTTATTAAATTGTTTTGTTTTGACAATAACTAACCGATTTAGGGAAGAAGCCCCATTAATTGTTATCAAAAAAAGTGGATGATCAGTTATATGAATAAATATGGAATTTCATTATCCATACTGACACAAGACTGTTGATTAACAAATGCAAACAAGTCTCTAATTTAAGTTAACAATATTACACGGTTGGTAACTTCATGGTAATACATAAAACTGATCACGGTTTCTCACTAGAACTCCAAGAATTGCATCATGAAGGTAGGCACTCAAGAGTTGGCTTCAACTTATGTAGTTTTATTAAGAATCCGTAGCCAATGTAGTTCAACTATATTGGGTATGAGATAGTTATCTACTGCAGACAATGGATGAGAGTTGTACAATATTGTGAATTGATTAAAGTTAGACATTAACACTGTTGGATCCCGGTTCAGTGGCTTAGAGTCTAATCATCCGTGCTCAAAGCTTATGGGCCTGGTTTTAATTTCAAAGTGTGAAGTCGAGGATACAATCTGCTGAAGAGTCTCATACTAGGATAAAACAAGAAAACAGCACTTCCAGATTTCAGTTTCCGAAATTTTCTAATTTAGAAAAAAACATCATTGATATGCTTTTATGCTCACTTCAGACTACATTAATAGACATTTGCTGTGATAAATTCTAATCATGTCCATTTTAACACTTCCTCAATGAGTATTAGTACATTTTTAACTGAAGGGGAGTATTGTATACAGATTCAAGTACGCTATAAATAAATTTTATCAAAAGTGTTTATATGTTACATCCAGTGCTAAATAATACTGAGAAATCCTGATATAAGAGACAATTAGAAAGTATCTAAAGAGGAATGTAATTTATACAACATACTTTTTATTTCTAAACACCCCGTCAATATGATTCATCTGAACCCGCTAGAACTGTAGTGAACGAGAACATACAAGTGGGAACAATCGAATATATTTGAACACAAAACTACAGAATCTCTTAGTAAAATCTGAGAACCATACAGTAAATACTTCATTTGCAAAATGTCAATCAATTGTACTAACCTTGACTGTTCCTTTTGCAAATATCAGTCAATCGTCTCAAACTTCATTGTTCTTTGGTTTCCACAATAATCATTCTCTGTTCTTGTTGTCTTTTCTTTAATCTTCTTGACTTTCCGCTTCCAAGTATTTCATTTCTCTATTGATGATACATACTACTTATATCTGTCAATATCAGTAGTACACACCACAAAACCATTATAAAATGAAAAGGATTTTGACTTTAGAAATGAATACACAAGTTTTTACAAATCAATTAATCCAAGGTTTATCTCACTGTTTCGAAGAACAGTGTTTACCTTTACAGTTTACTGATTTCTTGAACTCCCTTTCTGGTTTTAGAAGTTGTCATTATAACTTATTCGTTTCTGCTTAACTTGTTAAACTCTTATCATACTGTATTAACAATGTAATAGGACTATTGTATTATAGATTGTCATGTAAAGAACAACAATATATGAGACTGTAGAAAGAAACTTTTCTTTAATAAACTATCATGATTTTCAGCATATAGTTGTGGAGATTGTTGAGTTTTGATTGAGATCATGAGCCGATCAATGTTAGAGCACCATTGAAGACCTGGAAGTATTGAACAGCCATTTCGTCCTCGTATGGGACTCCTCAGCAGTGTGTATCCACGATCCCTTATGCAGCAACCAAACCTAGGACCTTTGGTCTAGTGCATGAACACTTAACCTCTGGACCACTGAGACAGTATCCGATGGTGTTGGTCATCAGTTAACTTTTAACGAGTTAAAAATCACTTAAAAGGAATTTTTTTCTACATATATATTAAAATAACGGATTAAAATAAAAAGTATAGAAGTAAAAAAATTAAAGATGATAAAAAAAAAAATTTAAAAAAAAATAAAAATAGTTCTTTTGAAGGAAATCTTAAACTGATGGCCAGGGCAGGGAAAGTGGTTGTACGAATCTCTTTTGAATGCAAAGGTCAGGTTTGTGAACATGGATTGCGATGGCTTCCGCAATGTGCAAGAGGCGCACTCGTAAACCATGTGGCAAATTAGATGGGATATTGTAGATAATCGCATTACTGAACATCATCCGTCGTGGTTAAACAAAGGACAGGTAAAAGCGATTAAAAGTTCTATTCTCTCTCACTTGGTTGACACAGGTCATCAAGTCGAATTGAATAAAGCTTTTAAGGTTATCTACAATATCCCATCCAAGTTGCCACATGGTTTACGAGTGCGCCTCTTGCACATTGCGGAAGCCATCGCAATCCATGTTCACAAACCTGACCTTTGCATTCAAAAGAGATTCGTACAACCACTTTCCCTGCCCTGGCCATCAGTTTAAGATTTCCTTCAAAAGAACTATTTTTCATACTTCTTCCTTTTTTTTTTAAAAACTTTTGTAATTTTATTTCTGTTGCTTTTGAACTTAATAACTTCTCAACATTCATCTCTTGATTCTTACGTAACTACCATCCTATTGACCATCGGTTAAAATTCTGTTCCTTCTTTGTTTCTTACATTACGCAACTTATCAACTTCTTGATCACTTTGAATATTAATAATCCTCTTTCTTCCAATTAATCAATGTTAATTTAAATGTCATTATGTAATTATTACGTAACATATCCACTCGATGAGTATTATATTATTATTGTAAAACGTATATATATTAGTGTAGAGCCATGATGAAAAACTAATTGAAAAGAAATTTCTTCGCTCAATTCGTTCCTTCTTTATTTGACAAATGGCAAAATGGGAATATTCACTTATTTAATTCATTTTCAATCATATACTAATAATCAGCATTATCATCTTTATTTAGTAACTTTATTTTCCCTGTACTTATTTTCTAATCAGGTTTCTCTGGATTGGCAGTAGCAGGCTACGCTGTAAATGTGATTGATTTAGCTCCTAATTTCTCAGGTTTGGTTATGGGATTCGCTAACAGTGTCAGTACATTTACAGGTAAGTAAATAAGGGTATATCTATAATATCAATTGTGTTAATTAACATGATATTCTACATTGATTAATATTTCAATGACAACGTATGTCTTATTTGTCTGGTTCTAAATGCTAAGTGGATCCTTTCAACTAAGCTGTTAATTAGTTACTATGCCAGTTTTCAGCAGATTTTTAAACGGGTTGTTTTATGTGTATCACTATGCAACAAAATATTGATATGAACATGAATTTATGTAAAATATGGAGCACATTAGTAGTGCATTTAGTCCTAAAACTATACTGTTTGTTGTTACTAATACAGTAATATGTACATGTAATGAGCTATTTTCATACAACTGATTATCTTTGTCGATGATACTCAACAGGTTTTTGAAAGTATCAACCCAAATTATGCTTGTTAATTTTCTAGTATGTAGTGTTATAGAGATGATTGGACTCTATAGTTTTACATTACGAATTGAACTTCGTTAGATAATCATTAAAACTCAGAGATCAATTTTGAATTGCTCAAATTTGTCCGTCAACGTTTACCATTATAGTTATTTCTTGCTCATGAAGATCATTAAAATACCCATAAATTGATGACGAATCAGGATCAAAATGAAGATTATTAGTATTTTACGTAACATTCATATAATAATTTCATCAAAGAGTTCAGTATAGGAAACACTTTGTAAAAGATACCTTTATTAAATACCTAAAGTGATTGGTATTGGTAAGTAAGCTTCTCCGATACAACATAGCATGCAACAATCAAATCACAATCGACAGAGAAGATTTGTAAGATGTAAAAGCCTTTACATATCCAGGCAGCATCATTGATGAACACAGTGGATCTGATACAGATATGAAGGCGCGGATAGGCAAAGCAAAAGTAGCATATCTATAATTGAAGAACACCTGGAACTCAAAATAACTGTCAACCAACACCAAAGTTAGAATTTTCAACACAAATGTCAAGACAGTTCTACTGTATGGGGCAGAAACTTGAAGAACCACTAAAGCCATCATCCAGAAGATACAAGTATTTATTAACAGTTGTCTAGGCAAAATATTTCAGATCCGTTGGTCAGACACTATCAGCAACAACTACTACTGTGGGAAAGAACAAACCAGATTGCAGCGGAGGAAGCACTGGAAGTAAATAGGACATGCGTTGACGAAAGCACCGAACTGCTTCACAGGGCAATCCCTCACTTTGAATCCTCAAGTTCAAAGGAGGAGAGAACTAAAGAACACATTACGCCGAGAAATGGAGACAAACAGACATGAGAAGAATAAACGACAAATGAATAGAACTAGAAAGCAAGGTGGAGGACAGAGTGAGTTGGAGATTACTGGTCGACTGCCTATACTCCATTGGAACTAACAGGTGTAAGTAAGTAAGTGAATAATTGATAAGTAAATTTCATTGTCAAAGAACGAAATCAGAATTGTACAGAATCTTTATTGATTTTAATATGGATACTATTTTCTTTATTTCAAACAAACTCTTAACCGTATCATGTCATTACTGACATATTAAATAATAAGAACTCCAATTTTTATACTACTGAATAAATATCATTCTTTTACATGATTACTATACTATTGGCTTGTGATATGATTTTATCCATTTATCTGATAATCTGTACGCAGGTACAGTAAAAATAGGATGAGAAATCATTTGTTAGTGCATTTTTTAGACCAGATAAGTTAACTTGACAGATAGTGATCTTCTCCCGGCTGAATATATTATTAGCAGCAGTGTCCTGCTCCAAAATAAAAAAACCTAATCATAAGCTTAGAAAGACTATTATACTACGGAAATAATCATTATAGACATTTAATTATAATGACGTTTTTTTGATCAATCTTCATTTTTGTAATCTATGTTGTATTAATGGACTGTAAGAGTCATTTTTAGTACCACACGTTGTTTTGACTTTTGTGGCCGGTTAGATTATCAAGTGATTTATTCACCAATCGAAATACGACTTATTCACTTTTGTACTGTGCTAAACCAATGACGTTCGATCGGTATGAGCAAGCAACAAAGCGTCCTTATTGATTTTTTGTTCGCCCAACCCGTCCAGTTGAGTTCAGAATGCCAATAACGGTCCCCACTATGCAAATCATTTATTACAAACATACTTGGTTTATATACCAGGCAAACAGACCGCATCACATCATAAAATAAGAAATGACATTTATAAAAGATCAAACCAAAAAGTGGTTGTGAACGTAGGAGACTGTAACCAACAAACTGGACATAACTTAAGGATAGTGAATCGTATAATAATAATATATAGGTCAAAATGAAGCTTATAATAAGGGGAATATAGATTTACCTAATCTAGTTACTGAACAGTTATACAATAGGGATATATATATATATATATATATATATATATATATATATATATATATATATGCAATATTGGTCTATTAATATTTTTCAAGTTACCCATAATTTAATCGTCACTAGGATATAACACACGTGAGTAACAGTAAAATATAACTTTAAGAACTAGTCATTCCTAAGCATCATAAGTTGAGCTTACTTCTATAACACTCAACATTGAATATCGAGGTAGACACTAGTTGGATTTGGGTATCACACATTTCAAATTTATAGTCTTATCAATTGACGTGTCCTTTATGTTTCGTACTCAATGCCTGATAACAGTTTTGCACAGTCAGTACGCTCACGATACAGATACTTTGTATTCAAAACTGATATCAATCAAATCAAGAATCTTTAAACAAATATGTATAAAACTTGTGACTTAAGGTTATATCGATGCAATCCGCACAGGATACACATATGCCAATATGAGACTGATCAACTGCAGTCCTAAATAACAATGGGAAGATACAAGTAAAACAACACCAAGTGAATATACAAATTCATTCGGAAGTAAAAACACAACCTAAAGCTTTTGCTCCATTTAGACTTTGAATTGAAAGTCATCTTATACTATAAAACTTAATTGCGGTAATAAATTTCTTCCATATGTAGCTTTCTTTCCTTTTTATCTTATTTAAATTTGCCAATTAGTGACGTACTAAGTAGTCTGTTCTATCATAAATAAATATAAATGGGAGTTTTGCTACATATTCCATATATATTCTAACTTCCGTTATAGTAGATTACGTTAATAATGATAAGAACGATAATAATAATACTAATGTCGAATATTAATAACGGTTATCTATTATAATGGTTACTAAGACAACTATCATATCACTGTCGAAAACAAACTTTTAATAATACTGTTCATTTCTATATTGCTTGATATCAGTATTGATGTAAAAAACGGTATTCCTATTTAATTCATTATAAAATGAATATAGAATTTTATACACTATAAACTATTTAACTGACATGCTTTTAAGCGAAGATGGATAGTGGTTAACAGTGGAATCCAGGACGCGCGATTCGTTCTATTTGGGACTCGTCAGTTGGATTTGCCTGCATCCTAGTTTTGATGTTCACTCTACGACTCGAACTCAGTACTGTTCACTTCAAACGTCATCACGTTATCCACTTAACTACTGAGTCCTGATAGCCACCTGCTTTTGCAATGGGATGAAGTTCTTAAATTCACTTGATGCTGTTTGCTTGTATCTTCCCATTGTTATTTAGGACTGCTGTTTATGTCTCATGTTGGTATATGTGCATCCTGTGCGGATTCCCTCAATATTGCCTTAAGTCATAAGCTATTTAAGCAAAGATGAATAGTGGCTAGCAGTCCTGGACAACAATGGGAAGATACGAGTAAAACAACATCAAGTGAGTTTAAACTTCACCTCATTACACAAACAAGTAACTATCAGGATTCAGTAGTTAAGTGAATAACGTGATGACGTTTAAAGTGAACGGTACTGGGTTTGAATTCCAGAGTGAACATCAACTCTGGAATGTGGGTACATCCAACTGACGAGTCTCAAATAGGACGAAGTGGTGCGCATCCTGGATTCCACTGCTAGCCACTATCTATCATAGATTATAGTTTAACAGTGAAATTAATGCACATCTATTATCGCTTATGAGTTTTAATATCAAAATCTATTAATCCAATACAGTTTATCTACTTTAATAACCAACTATAAATGATATTCACTTAGTCAATAATGAATAAAATATTATAAAGGTTTTGTAAAGATTAGTGAATTTCACAACATATATCATAGTTTGGATTATATTTCAACAATCGTTATATTCTAGAAACCATTGAACAGTTTACTTATCATTAGTAGTATATACATCTACAGTTTTACAAAATGTCAAATACACTACTATTGAAGTATCTCCTATAAAGAAACAAACTCTACTTAATGATCTATAGTTTTACAGTTTATTATTTAAATTATGAAATGAATGAAATACAATAAAAAGACATTTTATATTCTACTTTTCTCTTCTCTTCTCTTTATCATGATATTAATAAATGTTAAAAAAAAAGGAAAACAAAATAAAAATCTCATTTCTATGTCTGAATTGAAACACAATCAGGATTTCCGTATCCGTTGATATCAATGATACAAGAAATAAATTTATCTGTCATTGTTTCCCTCTCCAAACCTCCCTCTCTCTCTCTCTCTCTCTCTCCAAAATTCATGTTTTTCACAGAATTTTTTTCTAAAAAAAAAGGGAGGGATATGTGATAACATTTTGTAGACATGAAAAACATACAATATCAATTTAAATGTCAATTACAATTTCTTCTTTTTTTTTTGTCTTTATAACTCAATATCAATTAACAAAGTTCTCATTAGGTCGTATATGTGACAATGAATGAATGAATATTAGTAGAAGGAGGTTTTGTGGAGATCTTATCAATTTTATAGTTGAATTTATTAGTCAATTAAGGTTAGACCATCATGGGAAACCTAGAAGTACTGAACAGCCGTTTCGTTCCAGTATGAGTTCCTTCAACAGTGTGTATTCACGACTCCGCCCTGTGAGATTCGAAAGCAAGACCTATCAGTCTCGTGTGCGAACGCTTCACCTCCAGATCACTGAAAGAAAGAATGAATGAGTGATAAGGCTTAGTTTTTATTCTTGCATCTTGATTGTTTCCGATGAAAATGTGTAATCAATTGAAATAAATAATGAATTTTTATTAGAATGAAAGTTTATGGAGTTTATAGTGATTTCGAAAGTTGAATTCATTAGTTAATATCAGCTAGACTACCATTGAAAACCTTGAAGTAGTGGATGATTGTTTCGTCTTGGATTGTCCATGATTCGATTGAAGTTAGACATTAACAGCGTTGGATGCTGATTCAGTGGTCTAGAGTTTAAGCATTCACGTATGAGACCGAAAGTCTAGGATTCGAGTCCTGCATTCAGGATCGTGAATGCGTTCTACTAAAGAGTTCCTTACTACGATGAAACGATCACCTAATACTTCCAGGTTTTCTATGGTGGTCTGGCTTACATTGACTCATGAATTCAACTATTAGAATAATGTATTTTTGTTCTATACTTTTGTTATAATATTTTTAGGACAAAATTCTAGGACATCTGCTTGTTATAATAGCGGTAAAACTGGTTATTTTTACTTGTGATAACTAAATAAATACTGATATTGCTCAAAGCAAAGAAGAAACTTACGACTACCGATGAAGATTTATTATACAGCACATCAGATATAATCAGTGATCAACAAACTATAACAAAATACACTGAATGATGTATATTTTCCTTACCTGTTCAATAGTTAAATATAAATACAATGAATTAGGTAGTAATAGTAGTTGATATCAGTTGATCAATAACCAAATACTTGTAGATACCTTACAACATCAATGGATTTAGCTATATTAACTAATTATACACATAAACTACTGAGCTGTATACTTGTTTTTTTCCTAATAGCTTTATACATAAGCGTTTACTGATAATTCTAATAAAGTAGGTTTATGAAGTCTAATTGAGTAAGAAAAGAAACGAGACAGATTAAATGTGAAATGGTTATCTTTCATAGATTCTATATGCATTTTTATTCTGGTTGAAAGACGGTAAAATACAAGTTACATCTACATATGTATATGCATATATATATATACTTATTCTGGTAAGAGTTTTTTATACGCACGAACAAACGTATGTATAGACAGCCAGTGTAGCAGCAGCCTCTACATCAGTAAGCCTCAACATACACAAGGAAAAAAGTAACATCCTTAAAGTCAACATAGAGAACACCAACCCAACGATACATGAAGGAGGAACTCTGGAAGATGCGAAATCTTTCACGTATCCAGATAGCATCATCGACGAACAAGGAAGATCTGATGCAGACGTAAAGTCAAGGATCGGCAAAGCAAGAATAGCATTCCTACAGTTGAAGAACATCTACAACTCAAAACAACTGTCTGTCAATCAACATCAATGTCAGAATCTTCAATACGAACGTCGAGACAATTCTACTGTATGGAGCTCAAACGTGGAGAACTGCCACAAACATGATCAAAAATGTACAGGTATTTATAAACAATTGTCTACTCAATATCCGTTAGTCGGATACATCAACAACAATCTAATGTAAGACAGGACAAACCAGTTTCCATCTGAAGAGGAAATTAGGAAAAGACGTTGGAAGTGTATAGGACATACATTACGGAAATCACCAAACTGCATCACAAAGCAAGCCCTAACTTGGAATCGTGAAGGGAAACGGAGAAGAGTAAGGTCAAAGAACACACCGCATCGAGAATTGGAAGCACACATGAAAGGAATAAATAACAACTGGAAAAACCTGGAAAGAAATGGTCAGGACAGAATTGGATCGAGAGTGAATGTGGGCAGAATATGCTCTTCCACGATGTGTAACACACATGTAAGGGGGATACATATGCTTACTTCAACAATCATTTTTATAGTACAACAACCGTTAAATTGTTTGGTTGCTATTTTAACTCACATGGCATATCAGTTGTACTAAGACTAATGAAACCTGTGAACTCCTATATATTATTTGTCATCCAGAACGTCAGAAATCAAATATACTATAATCAATAAGTGAATAGTAACAAATAATGTGTTGTCTGGTTCCTAGAGTTACCTGTATTCTACACACCCTCCTTTAATTAAGATTACTCCATTTAAGGATATTTCATCACGGATCAATCTGTTTGATTTTAGATTATTTCTGGTAAGTTGACTAGATGATCTGAACGCGAATGATTCAGTGACTAGGACTTTTTAATAAAATGCAATCTTTGAGGAATTATTGATGTCCTATGAAATGTGAACAAGTAAACAACTCATTGATACTGTTTGATACTCTATTACATTGTTTATTGATATTATTTGATAGATTTGTTTTAACGGAATTAGTAAACAATTTTACAGGTAACAATACCAAGTGTATTTAAACTTCACCCCATTGCACAAGCAGGTGGCTATCAGGACTCAGTAGCTAAGTGGATAACGTGATGATGTTTTAAACGAAAGGTACTGAGTTCGAATTGTAGAGTGAACATCAACTCTGGAATGCAGGTACATCCAACTGACGAGTCCCAAATAGGACGAAGTGGCGTGCATCCTGGATTCCACTGTTAGCCACTATCTATCTTTACATATAATTTTACAGGATAGTTTTGTCGAATTACTTCATTTAGTCAATTATCAACACAATTTTTTTCTGTTGATTGGAAACTTGAAATCAAATTTATGAAGATGAACGTATAAGATATTATATCGTATGTGTGATTAAAACATCCATATTGAAATGGTGGAGATTTGTAGCTCAGGTGGATGATCTTAATGGAGTTTTGTTCTCTGGTTTAGTCGTGAAGCTTTCATCATTCTTCCGAACGACATCATCAGCACAAACTTTAGGTAGAAGTCTACTGAAGTTTGTGCTGATGTCGTTTAGAAGAATGATGAAAGCTCCACGACTAAACCATCTAGCTCAGAGAACGAAACGCTATCAAAAGCATCCATAAATTCTATATCTAGTGTGTTTTCAAAACTAACCTTTCATCTGTAGGTGTCATTACCAAGATTTGATTTGATGATTTCGAATAAATTACAAATATATTATTTTTATTTATAACCTTTCATCTGTTCATTCATTACAATTTAATTTACTTTTTTTGGTTTTCTTGGAGATTATGAATGTATTAAACAGTGTTGTTAAAGTTTATCTATCATGTTTTAAAGGTTCATATGTTATGAAGAGCATGTTTGATCATCTTTCCAATATTGAAGTGTAATTCTTACTAAAGATTTCATTTAAAGCTTCTGGAACTATCCACAACTGTCAGCGCAGTACAATATGAAGAATGAAAGACACAAATATATTGAAAGTTAGTGTTTAAAATGAATCACCTAATAAAAACAACACTAATATGTTACATTCCTATATTTAATGAATGGGAAAGTGGCCGAAAGTCTTTGACTGAAGATATTATTTGAATATCTAAAATGTTGCGGATCACTTTAACCAATAGTATCCAAATAAACAAAGATGAATAATGGCTAGCAGTGGAATTCAGGACGCTCACCTTATTTACTTACTTACGCATGTTACTCCTAATGGAGTAAATGGCCGCCGACAAGCATTCTCCAACCCACTCTGTCCTCCACCTTCTTTTCTAGTTCGACACAATTGTCGTTCATTTTTCTCATGTCTGTTTGTCTCCATTTCTGAGTGTAATGTGTTCTTTGGTCTTCCTCTTCTATTTTGGCCTTGAGGATTCCATGTGAGGGCTTGACTTGTGACACAGTTTGCTGATTTCTTTAATGTGTGTCCTATCCACTTCCAACGCTTCTTCCTGATTTCTTCCTCCGCTGGGATCTGGTTTGTTTTTTCCAACAGTAGGTTGTTGCGAATAATGTCCGGCCAACGGATTCGAAGTATTTTGCATAGACAACTGTTTATAAACACCTGTATCTTGTGGATGATGACTTTCGTAGTTCTCCAGGATTCCACCCCATACAGTAGAACTGTCTTGACATTTGTATTGAAAATCCTGACCTTGGTGTTGGTTGATAGTTATTTTGAGTTCCAGGTGTTCTTCAATTATAGATATGCTGTTCTTGCTTTGCCTATCCGCGCTTTCACATCTGTATCAGATCCACCGTGTTCATCAATGATGCTGCCCAAATGTGCAAAGATTTTTACATCTTCCAAATCTTCTCTGTTGATTGTGATTTGATTGGTGCATGCTGTGTCATATCGGAGAATCTTGCTTTTCTCCTTGTGTATGTTGAGATCTACTGCTGCTGAGGCTGCTGCTACACTGATCGTCTTCTCCTGCATTTATTTTTGCGATTGCGATAAAAGAGCAAGATCATCTAGCTGCATCCTAGATGTCCACTGTATCCCGTGCTTCCCTTCAGATGTTGACGTCTTCATGTTCCAGTCGATCACCAGGGGAAAGAGTAAAGGTGAGAGTAAGCAACCTTGCCTGACACCGGTCTTAGGACGCTCACCACTTTGTCCTATTTGGGACTCGTCAGTTGGATGTACCCACATTCCAGAGTTGATGTTCACTCTGCAATTCAAACCCAGTACTGTCCATTTTAAACGTCATCACGTTATCCACTTAACTACCGAGTCCTGATAGTCACGTGGTTGTGTAATGAGGTGAAGTTTAAATTCACTTGATGTTGTTTTACTTTTATCTTCCCATTGTTATTTAGGGACTTCAATTGATTGAGGCAATTCACACAGGATGCACATATGCCAACATGAGACTGATCAATTACAGTCCTAAATAACAATGAGAAGATACAAGTAAAGCAACACCAAGTGAATAAAATTTAATGTTACATAATGTTCTTTTTTCCTTTTCCATAGAACAATTATCATCTATTGAAATAATCTATGTACTATAGTTTATTATTTTTTCTTTCCTTATTACATTTAGGTATTTTATCAACATTTATCGCATCAGTTGTTGTACATAAATTTGGTTTAGAATTAAAAAATGGTTGGAGAGTTGCTTTATGTTTAGCAGCATTTAGTCAATTTGTTGCTATGATTACATATTTATTATTTAGTTCCAGTGAACAACAATCTTGGGCATATTCACCGACATTTGAAAGTGTTGACAAGAATGATGATGATGTTGATGATGATGATGATAATAATAATAAGAAGAATAGACCTATGGAACAAATCAATCATTCCATGATTTGATGTATATTATCTTCTTTGAATAATTGTCTTTAATTACATTTATTTTATTTTATTTTGAAGTTTAGTTTGAATATATTTTCCAAGATTTTTGCATGAGTTTCATGAATAAGAAAAAAAAGAAAGAAACAAGAAAAAGAAAAAAGAAAACTAGTTTCCTTAACATATAAATCTCACTTTAGATTTTATTGATTCTTTCTTACGAAACAAGAAGAAAACAACAATAAAAAGCGACAACAAAACAACTCTGATATTTGTAATTGGATCATAAACAAAACTGTAGAGAAAGCGTTTATTTTAAAATAGAAGAAAACATTTTGATTTTGTTTATGTGATAAGTTTATCACCATTTTTTTTGTTAAAACAAACAAACAAAAAGTTTATTAGTATCAGAAGTTTTGTGGAGATTGTAGTAATTCTAACAGCAATCGGTTCATTATCTTAATCAAAAACTTAACAATCTCCACAACCCCTATACTGATAATTACCATATACTTACTAGTGACTAGCTTCGTGAGAAAATTCTCGGAGTTCTGGAGAGAAGCCATGACCAGTGGAGCTAATCCGTGTCGGGTAGAAACAGGTGTCTACCTCGGTACAATGGAATATGGTTGCGCAACTTCATGGATTGGTTGAGGTTAGATATTAACATCATTGGATGCCGGCTTAGTGATCCTTTAGGTTAAGCGTTCGCATGCGAGACTAAAGGCCCTGGGTTCGAATCTCGCGAACGGGATCGTAGATGTGCACTGCCGAGGAGTCCCACAGTGGGACGAGACGGCCATCTAGTGCTTTCAGGTCTTTAATGGTGGTCTAAGATCAATCGGTTCATTATCTCAATCAAAACTTAACAATCTCCATAACCCCTATACTGTTAATTTTAATAATTGAAATCATGGGTCAATTGAAGCTAGACCACCATGGAAAACCTGGAAACACTGGACAGCCTTTTCGTCTTGGTATAGGACTCATCAGCAGTGCACATCCACAACCTCGCCCCCGGGAATTCAAACACAAGACCTATCAGCCTCGCGCGAGGGCGCCTAACCACTAGACTATTGAGCCGACCGGTAATTAATGGTGTTAGTGTTTAGCTTCAACTAATCCAGGAAATCGAGTGACATATCCACCATTGTCATCAGTGAGTTACTATTACACAACAGACCCAGTTGAACTCTACTGGTCACTGCTTCCCACTAGAACTCCAGGATATACCTCTTGAAACCAGTGACTAGTAAGCATATGTTGATTAGTATCAGAAGGGGTTTTGTAGAGATTGTAGTAATTTCAGTTGGACGAAAGGGCCATCTAGTGCTTCCAGATTTTCCATGATGGTATAGATTCAATGGATTCATGATATCAACTATTGAAAAACTTTATTATTTGAAATAATCAGCATGTGATTGTTAAGACTATGGAACTTTTGATTGAGATCACGAACTGATCGATGTTAGACCATCATTGGAAACCTAGAAGCACTTGATGACTGTTTCATCCTATTGTGGGATTCCTCAGTAGTGTGCATTCACGATTCAATAAATTTGATTTGATGTTAATTCGATTCTGTTTATCTGAAGACCAGAAATGATTGATTAGTGAGTAAAATTAGTGAAATCAGAAAAAAAATGAGACAAAATTTATCTAATATACATTTTATGAGTTACAATTTCATATAGTATCTAGGATGTTTATCATGTCAAATATACAACGAAAGGAGAATATTTTCTGTATTAGTTGTGTTTTAATGACAAATATAATAAACGATTTAACCCTTTGGCGACAGTAGTGATAGGCAGATTATGTCATCATACTCCGAGATTAAATAGACAGTTTTAGATCATGTGATACATCATTATAATTAATGATTGAAAACTAGACATTTGATTAGAGTAGTAGTTTATTGAAGAACAAAATATACAGAGGAATCATATAGTGTAAAGTTCGAATATGATTACAGTGAAATCAATGACGAGATATAATTTACATAGGATATAATATTATTTATCATAGCTGATTGTCTGTTTGTCTTTGCTAACTATGTAATACATCAAGTTATTTGTGAAGTATTTACAAAAATACATTGGATAATCTAGATAATGGTCAGTAGTTGTTTCAATACAACAATCACAGCTAATAATGGAAATGGATGAACTATTAACTATGCTAAAAAACATATAATTATGATACCAAATGAACGAAATGTTACAGATTCATGTAAACATTTGAAAATACTAGGGATCCGAGTAGCTACATACCATCTACAACTTCAAGAAGACAGTTTTCGAATATCTCTCAGTAGGATCCCTTTTGATTTAAGTGAATCATGTTTACCAATACGGTCTCCCTCCTCGAACTCATAACTATATAATCTTTCTAGATCCGGTGAAACATCATGAGAATGACAACGCTGTACTGTATTTATGGACCTATAAGACTCCCTGGGACATAAAACCATTCGACCGAGAGGCGTACGCACACCAAACGGATGTTCCCGGTCTCCCAGACGTTGTTCCAGAACCAAATGTGCGTCTGGAGTGTCACATTCAATCAACACTCTTACTAGATTACTTTGCGACGTCGGAAGGGTGATGTCTTTCAAATGCTGCCACGATCCCAGATGTTCCTCGGTTAAAGGTTCTACATAATCGATCGGAAACTTCTTAGTCGTATAAGCCTTGTTGATCTTCACGTAACCCTGTTCATCCAATGAAAATATCTCTAAATTTACTTCCTGACATTCACAAGTAGTAGTTCCATTCACAGTCGTCACTTTTATCGAAGTCTCCTTACCTTTAAGACCCAACTGATTAATTATCTCTTCACATACAAAAGAAGTATCTGAACCACTATCAAGAAGGGCGTAAGTTTCTCAGGTTCCCTTCGGACCATACAGCCTGACCGGAATGATACACAAACAAACCTCTGACGAGTTCCAATCCTTAACTAAGTTCACTACACGGTTATTAATACCAACAATATGTAGCAATGAATTATGCAGAACCTTGAAATTACCAACGTCACACTTGATATCCGAGTTGCATGACTTGGCTATGTGACCTTTCCTTAAACACAGGTAACATAGACCACATCTTCTCACTTCCTGTCTCCTTTCTGTAACACTCATTTTCAATAACTTCATACAATCTGTCTCTTTGTGATCAGCAAAGCGAATTTCGCAACTGAGAGCCGTGAATGAGTTGCTTGGTTCCAGCTTAACTACATTAAAACGTGATCTTTTATCAACTTTGCCTTCATAATTACTTTTACTGAACTTTGAGTTACAATGTACCAATCTACCAAAACGTGTTCGAGCAATCCTGGCTCTTACTTCTACAAAGATCACAAATTCTCCAAAGATCGGCTGCATCCTGGTCATCATGATCTTATCGGCAACTTCCACCCACTTATTTTGTAATTCTAGGGGTAAACATGACACAGTTCTTTCCAAATTAGCCGGAGAGTTCATATCAGACATATACCCCATTTCCTTCAATGTTATGCATACATTACGTAGCTTAATTGCAAAGTCAGTTAAGCCATCTGCTGATCCTTCAACAGATTTGTTGTTAAGTAACTCAGGTCACACAAAATCTGTTTAGCTCTATCATAACCCAAATCACTGGGCAATGAAATGCAAGCTTCAATTGCTGTCCTGACATTTCCCTTACAAAAGTATAACAAATACGACAACAATTGGCTCTTATATGACAATTTACTCGCTATAAGGCTATTAAACTAACTAATGAAACGGTAATACTGACCCGGTTGCACACCAAAGTATATCATATCAATCTTGGGTAAAACCATATTATTAACCATAGTATGCAACGTATCCTTCAACTCATCAACCCAATGGCTTTTCGAGATGTTAAATACCTCCCTTGAATGATTATTACAAACAGCATCACAATCTAAGTAACTTTCCACCTTAGCATTTATCTCACATTTGTCTAAGGATAGTTGGTTATCGTCCTCCATGACCTTACATTCCAATTCAGCCGTATCAACTACTTCTTGGAGATCTAACATATTAAGCTGCCTTTCTAACTCAAGTCTCTTTTCTAAATTCTTCTTCCTTAGTAATGCCTTACCTAACTTTAATCTAGTAGTACTAAGCTGACCAGGTGACATACTATTAATACTAACATCATCATTAACACCAGACATACCACAAACAGCTTTCGAAATTTTACCATCCATTTCGTCATTTTCCTTCAGCCTTTTGCTCTATGTTTCCATCGTATTCCTTGTTCCAAATAATCGATTTACCAAAACAAATCGGAGTTAATCCAAACGAAATCGACCGATAGGACCAGGAAATTGAACCCAAAATGTCCAGACAATCCAAGGTATGACCAAAGACCGATAAACTAGCTATTCTGTTGCGTCCCAGCTCCGCTAACTAGAGAGGAAAGTCGAAGTCCGAACGGGAAGGACATTCTGTGAAAAGCCAGAAGCACGAGCGACCACAATATGACAAGGTAAAAAGGCAACGCTCCTAGGGTATCGTCCACTGATGGGGGTTGCGAGCACTTGAAGGTCAAACAGTCACAAAATGATTGGTGCGTCACATCGACAATTCGTGAAAATTTTCAGAAGCGGTCAAATCAAGACGTTTTTAGATTTGAATTCAGTTCAGCCACACCATGTCTGGTAACGTCCATTCTTCAAGTAACGAAGATAATGCCATCGTGATGATGCATGATATAGGACGAATCTTCAATGATACTATGTTATCTCGAAGACTTACAAGTTGGGACAATTTTGAGACCTGTTTGAAAGAAGTACATAAGGTAATATTGTAGCGTGGCGTCGAGTTGTGATTAACTATGAACACCGCTACCAAGAAACACGTGCCAAATAGATCAGAAGGCGTAAGAAGCTCGTTCCAAATGACTCCATAAAATCCCGAGAAGCCGAATACCAGAAGGCAATTAATGGACCAAGTCGAGGTTATATTTGCTGGCGATCTCGTGGCATCGAAAGGATACCGAGATCGTGCCAGGATACAACCTTGGTTACAGAAGGTAACCGAATTCGCGCGAAGTTACAATCGAAGTGTAAGTAAAGAATGGAAGCACAAAATAGCTGTCATTAGCACAGTCAAACAAAAGCACGTTAAAACAAACACTGGTACAGTTGGTTATAATAATAATTGTTTTTATTAAACCAGTCGTGTTCTCGTGATAAACGTGAGTCACTACAGGAGCCCCCCGCTAGAAAGGGTTTACACTTTCGATAAATAGCGGTTTGAATCGTGGGACTGATCGGCTGACGAGCGATTGTAGGACGGAAGAATTGGCGAACAGGAAAGCGATCGTTGATCGTCGAGTTGCCAACGAAGGTCGTTTTCGGAGAACGGTACCAGGAGCGATGTGTTGTATTTATTGCTTGAGTTGGCATGCTACACCAGAGTGGTTTGTATCCAGAATCTGAAGATGGCGTTCGTAGGGGTCCGGACCAGAAACGCTGCAGACGTAGGACGAAACCACGTTGATCCGATGAACCAGAAGCGACCATAACGACCAAGTTCGAGACCAAGCGTGTGCCAAACATTCGAAACGAAGATATCGACTGAGTACGTTGACAAGAGCGTGGGTGATCAGGCCAGCTTTCGCCAAAGTTGACTGAAGTCGACGGAACCAAACGGAGATGGTCGAAGGCGTGGGCTCAGGAAACAAAAAGAAAATCAAAAAAGAGAAGAGTGTAGCATGCGTGTAGTATAGGAATAATCCTACACCGTATCGTTGTTAACTGTGCGGCTAGTCGCGGAAGCGTACGGGTAACCGTACTCGGCGACCGGAACGTGAGACGGTAGTCTCGTTCGCGTCGCGTGAGCCTGCAATCTCATCCGAAGTCAAGGGCGGCGTGGTCTGCTGATCTGGACGTGAGACTGTCGTCTCGTCCGTAGACGGTGCAGATGACGCGTGCTGTTGACTGGGACGTGAGAATGAGGTCTCAGATGTATCTAGCGTGGGACCTGAAGATGGTTTGAGGATCCCGCTAGTAGGTTTGCTAGGTCTAGCATTGAATCTCAGGTTATCAGATAGGGCACTGTCATCGACGTGTGCTGGTTTGAGACGATCAATGCTGACGATCTCGACGCGTCCATATCGATCAACCTTGAAGGTCTTTTCGTGACGAGCGATCACGTGAAAAGGGCCTTCGTAAGGTTGTTGCCAAGGTTTGCGTACCGAATCTACTCGTATGAAAACATGTGAACAGGTAGATAACTCTCGAGGGAGAGCGACCTGTCGATGTTGTATTCGAGTTGACACCGGAGACAGCGTTCGCATAAATGCAGACAGTCGATGGACGTAGTCTGATTTACCGAAATTAGGTCTGCTCCGTGGTGTGAAGAATTCTCCGGGCAGACGCAATGTCGTGCCGAATACCAGTTCAGCGGCGGAACATTGTATATCTGCCTTCAAGCTCGTTGTGATCCCTAAAAGAACGAGCGGTAAGGTTTCGTGCCAGTTGCCGTTTTCGTGTGCTCGTATAGCACTTTTAAGTTGGCAGTGAAACCGTTTACTTAACCATTTGGTGCTGGGTGGTAGACAGATATGCTTATGCGTATGCATTCCGTACCAAGCAGCCGGGTCAGCGAGGAGAACAGTTAATAGGGGAAAATTTCTCGAATAAAGCGTGGAATTCATCGTCACGCGAATAAAAAGTAACAAGGATTCGGTACACATACATGTGAGTCTATTATATTAATACTATTATTATCGTTATCCGTCATGTCGAGTATATTATATATTAAAAAATATGAAAATATACGACAGACGTGGATAGATAAATCATAGACTCACCGAATTGGCTTCTTTGGAAGATTTGATCAGAAGTTGAGGCGTGTTCCAAACTTTGGGATCACCAATGTAGCGTGGCGTCGAGTTGTGATTAACTATGAACACCGCTACCAAGAAACACGTGCCAAATAGATCAGAAGGCGTAAGAAGCTCGTTCCAAATGACTCCATAAAATCCCGAGAAGCCGAATACCAGAAGGCAATTAATGGACCAAGTCGAGGTTATATTTGCTGGCGATCTCGTGGCATCGAAAGGATACCGAGATCGTGCCAGGATACAACCTTGGTTACAGAAGGTAACCGAATTCGCGCGAAGTTACAATCGAAGTGTAAGTAAAGAATGGAAGCACAAAATAGCTGTCATTAGCACAGTCAAACAAAAGCACGTTAAAACAAACACTGGTACAGTTGGTTATAATAATAATTGTTTTTATTAAACCAGTCGTGTTCTCGTGATAAACGTGAGTCACTACAATATGACTTCTGTGGTTAATAATTATTTTTTAGTATACGCATACTAAGTACGTTATGTCAGTATGCAAAAAGAACAGTGATGATCCAACTCCAGAGTACTTTTTCGTGAGATATGTCTGTACATATGGACGTAGACGCAGTTCGGTAGAGTCAGATGCTTGCGTTCAGGATGTAGATGATGATAGTAATAATCATTCTTCTGAAGAGCGTACAATGTCTAACTCGCCAACACAACCTAGGCAAAGGAGACGACATCGGTCATCTACGTATGCCTTACTTCAAATGAATTTATCCTTAAGGTCGAAATATTGCGTTTCAATGACTTCATGCTGCCCTCTGGTCATATTTTGTATGCACATCCTAAAGATCTGATTCGTGGAGGTATGTTTGTTCCTTTATCTTTATAAGTTTTGTAGGCTTATTTCGACATGGCAACCGATGGACAAGAAAATACATAATGGACCTAGTTCTTCGTGCGCTGGACAACATCTCAATCTCTACAGAGAGATGATCTGCTAGAGAAGTTCACTAGCAACTACCACTCAATCCATGCTCTTAGTGAACCTTTGGCAAGTAAACTCATCCGTTCATGCCTCGAAGCATCGGAAGACATATGCGCACAAGTGATGAGTTCAATCGGTGCTAATGATGAAGCTACAACGTCAGAATCCATTGTTAATACAGACCATAGCTATGCTTCTTGATAACAAGAAGTTCTAATATTGTAATCTTTTTAGTTTTACATAAATTCATGTATGTGGCCATTGACTTATTCTTATAGCGTAACGACAGGGAGTGTACTGTGCAGTCTTATGTGGCGGTGAGACAGGGATGTTGTTTCGCGTTCTTGTGTAATAATTGCCATTTGGACGCACACGCGATTAGTCATACATACCGTTTACCGAATACTGCTACCTTGAACATGGTGTACCGTACTAGTAGTTCAGATTTCGACCTGTCACGATAGATAAGAATTGCCGTAATTAAAAGACTGGTGCGTTATAAATGAAAAAGTTTATTAAAGTTTGAATCTAGCACAAATGATCCATTAATAAATAACTTTTATTTCTTAGGAATTGTTCCCGTTAGGTCTGTGAACACTTGCGAAGCTAGCTGGAAATAAGATAGACAGGAAAGTTACTTCATTATAAATGTTTACCAGAAAGTAGTATAAAAACGGAAACCAGTATTCAATTACAGATCGAAAGTGCATTTAGCACACCCTTCCTTTGGATAGTTAATCACGCTTATTTCCTTTATCTCTTGCGTTGCTTAGGAAAGTCTGGGTCACAACATACACGGATTGTATTATTTAATTCTTTGGAAGGTTGCACTTCGGAAACTTAGACGATGACCATATATAATAACTACTGTGTGAATTTACTTTGAATCGTCCTGTGTAACCTGCAATTCTTGATGCATATTCTGTTTTAGTCCCACGCAAGTTATGAGTAATTGTCATTTACGGCATCAGCACGTAAGCTAGACAGGCCTTGGTTGATTTCCGAAGATCATCACATAGGATCTCACACAATCTGGTCACCTTAGATCAAGATATCTTGACTATCGAATCGTACTTTTCAGTGCTTTCTCGTAACAGCTTTATATCAGTACTTATTTCTGATATTAGGTATTTTTGCAATAATACCGGCAGCCAAAACATTGTAGCTCCCCAGACAACCCAAAAAGGGAAAATAAAGGGGTAAATGCTTTGGTAGCGAAAGGGAAAACACATCAGAATGTCGCATTTTTCGCCTGTCCAGAGGAAATAATGTGGATTTCCCCCTTTTTCGCCGTTTTGTCGATAAATTACTCACTTTTCGCCTAAATATCCCCCAAATTACCGAATTTTCGCCTAACTGTCCGCAGAATTGTTTACTTTTCGCCTAAATGTCTGCTGAATTGTTTACTTTTCGCCTAAATACACACAGAACTCCCTATTTTCCATCCATTGACATAACCCCAAAGGTCTACTATGTTCACCTTTATTTTCAACAACAGACCAAAATAAATCTGCAATACAGTGAAAGACCGGCATGTTTTTGAAAAATTTTATTTAAAAGGTGAAGCGTATTATTGTACAACACTAGAGCAGAAGCTTAAGCATCGATTGTTTTGCATATCCAATGCAATTGCTAATTCATTGTTATTTGAAATTATCTGCAAAAGAAGAAACACGTGATGTATTATTTATAAGGAATGTGCATTTATTCAAAAGCTCACTGACACTCAAACACACATTCTCAACACTTCTACAGTTTCCCATGTAAGTAAAAAAGTAAGCTGTTTGAAAAATATTTATTGAAATGTAGGTACAACATCAAAACAATTGCACGGCTATTGAGAATTGAGGTAGTCGTCCCGTGAATTCAGAATTTAAAAAAAGAAAAAAGTCACAACCATATCTCAATGACATGCTTTGGTACAGCCAAATACTTGTGTACATCTACACAAGAGGTAGTAATGCTATCTTAGCTTCGTCTTTGGTAGAATCTCCACATAATTATACCTCTACCGCATGATTATGATTTATTTCCTGCAATACAATCATCTGGTGGCTAATATATCTAACTGTAGAAGGTGATATTAACATCTTAATATGTGTTATTATCATCTATAGCATATACATAATATTTACAACACTCAGGACACCTTATGTTTTCACTATAAACCTATTTCTGCCATAAAAGTCGAACAAAACAGTGAAAATCAGCAGAAATTGTGATAAAGATAGGAAAAACGATAAATCTTACCATGGTATCGTTAGTTGTAACGCAGTTTTCGTAGCCTTGACGACAATACAATTTTTATGACGATATATGCCTGAATCTTCCTATTTCATATAAAAATAAAAGATTTGTCGACCATCAGTGTATACCTAAGTAGAAATAATTGCTAATCTGCGATGCAAACATCGAAAAACTATTATAGCAGCACCTGAATAATGAATTTTCAAGGACTTCACGATACCATGTAACGCAAAATCGAAAAACCCATTTTTACCTAATTATGAAAACGGAAAATAGACTTTCAAATTTATTCATTATGTATTTTCAAATTTGGTTGTGCACAAAGCAGAAATGAAAAAGTAGCGCAAAAAAGTGTCGCGATACCCCTGGAGCGCTGCCAGGTAAAAACGGTAATCCCTTTCAAACCTGTCCGCCGTTTCGTTTCAACGACCTTGAACGCGCTGACTGGAAGCGGGCATTCCGTATTTCAATTGCCGTGTGTGTGTTGGGTCTTATGAGTATTAAATGTTTCCATATATAAGTCATCTTTTGATGCATAGTAAACACTAAATAACTGCTAAGAGCATTAACTGAGTATTTTCTGTTTTGTAGTGCACACTTTAGCTCTGTTGTTCCTTCGAAACTTGATCTGTGGTCCTAAGTGCTGTAGTGAAAGTCAACAGCTATATATAATTTGTTGATAAGGTCCAGAAAACAACGTAAGAAAGATAAAATAACGTAAAAGGTTATAGATGCGCATAGTTTTTGTTAGTTAAGACGAAATGTCAACTGAAGGGTAAGTCCTAAATATATGTTGTTCTTCCTTCAGTTAATTTTTTTCAAGGAATAACCTTTTTTTAATAACTGTTGTATGTTGTCTCTAGTGCTTCATGCTCAAGTGAAATTTCAGTGGACGTAAGCGACGCGTTCCAACGCATTATGCTGAACAAGAGATTCGGAAGCTGGATTGAATTAGATAATGCGCTAAAGGATTTCCATAAAGTATGATAGGATAAATCTATGTTTTCTCAGATGACCCATACACACTATGTTCACGCAGAAAGTAGATTGTTGAAGGATGTGAGATATAAATACTTGTTCGTAGTGTTTCGTTGCACGTTTGGTCGTAAACGTAAATCAGAAGGTCTGAATGTGAATAAAAAACCGTGAGGACTCTAACTAATGTGTTATCTTCAAGGTCTAAATTTTTAAATTGCCAATCGATGTTTCGCGTAAGATTGGAGGGTCAACAATACGTTATAAAATCTTACAACATGACTCACAACCATCCGTGTACTAGTTCGTGGATGGTTTGTGATCCGTTGAGTAGACGATTGTCATCAGAAGAAAAAGAAAACTTGAAACCAGTTATATTGCACTGTCAGTCGACGGACGAAGTTATCGAAAGTATTAAGGAAAGAACAGGTAAGCAGGTGACCGCTGCTGATGTCAAAAATATGAAAGCTGAACTCTCCACTGGTAAGTGTATATAAATATATTTCAGGTTGGACTCGGAAGCAGGTATTGCAGATGATGCGACAAAACGGTGAAGTTAGAGAACATGCAGAAAATGGATCTATTACAGCGATATGTTTCAGCAGTTATGATCAGATACGGCTGTACAATCAATATCCCGAAGTCGTGTGTATTGATTCTACTTATAAAACTAATAATAAAAAGTGAATATGATTTTCGTTTTGTTCTACTATGTAGGTATTCATTATTCCAGTTAGTGGTAACAGACAATTGGGGCCGAGGTCGAACTGTTATGTTTGCATGGACAAAAAAAGAAAAGCGTGCTGATAGGCCAGTACCTATCACGTTACTGGATGCCACGTAAAGCAATGTGGGCGCGTGCCTTTTACAGCAGTGTATTAACTTTGGGTAACAACACGAATAATCGTGTTGAGTCATTAAATAGGCAAATAAAAAGATATGTACGCAAAAGCGACAGCTTGCACAAGTGCATGTACAAGGCTTTTAAGTGGAGTTCAATGACATTCTCTAGAAAAAGCATTGAAGACCAGATAATCAGTGGACGAACATACAATTATGATGCTCCACAACGTCTTGTACCCTTGCTGAACATGTTGACCCCATTCGCAAGGTCCAAAGTGTTATACGAACTTAAAAAAATGCGTTTCGTTCACTTAGAATATGAAAGCGGCGAGTGGTTGTTTATGCTTGACCGCGGACAGCATTACGAAGTAGATGTAAGTATTTGTGAATGCAGTTGCAGCACGTTTAATATGTGTCGATATCCGTGCCGCCATCTCCTGCTGGCATATATTAAAAGACGAAATCTAACAGGTAAGCTATTTAAATTATAAAATATAAACTGCATAGCTCATCAACTTCTTAGGTGTTGCTGCAGATGGAAATTAGACAATACGCACAATTTACAAAACAGCACAGGAATTTCATTACGGAGACGGAGTAAAGAATATATACAACTTCAACGGCTCCAAAGAAGGTGCAAACAACAAATTGTTGAGAAATATGGTGAACGCTTCGCGAATCAGGTGGAGAGAAAAGTCTACAATTTTTACTTAAGAATTATAAACAGCTAGACAGCAGGTTTACGATTAACAGTTCTTTGTGGCTTTATTTTATACCACTATTTATACAACTTGTAAACTTATCATGAAAAATCAATAAACTTTTTCTCATTTTTTATTTTCGTCTTCTTCATACTTTCATGGGGAGGTTTACCAATCGCTTTAACGAATAATTGTGTGTGAAAATTAAGAATTTGTACTACTGTATTAGTTACGAACTGTCGTTAGAACTTAGCGTTATATCGTTGTTCATTGTGAGGAATCAACGAGTCAAATAAAACAATAATGCGACTTCCACGTAAAACCTTACAGATTAAACAACCGCCTTACATATTTTCCGTTGTCAGATTACGTCCATTATCAAGTTAGTATTAGTATGGAACTAGACAATTTCATGCAGCTAGTTCCTTGATAAGATGGATTACGTAATCCTTAGACCACCCTTCCACTCACACTTCTTTGCTAAATTATGTTAACTCTTCAGATTGTCTTCACTTATCTTATTAGTTCTTAATTCACTGATTTATTCATTACATCTAGAATTATCACACAATTTATCTTATATGCTTCTGAGCTTCACTCGACTATTACACCACCCATCCTTTATGTTCCCTTAAGTCTAACACCAAATGACCTTTGACCTGTTCAAGCATATACATATGTATAGTTATTATTGATAACCTAGGTCATTCCAATTCTTTGCTTTCTATTATCTTTCATACTATTTCTTCCCTCAATCTTAAATTATAATGCATATTCAGTTGTATGCAACTTATGAGAAACCACGAAATGTAATGCAGTCACATGATTCTGCGTCAATATTTGTTTTGGCTTTATTTAGACCATAATTATACAAACTTACAGGATTTATAATATAAAACACTGCGTATGGTTGTTATATTTATATTTAAATAATTCATTAGATGAATGAGCATAGCAGTAGGCAATATAAAACAGTTATCGTAAACTTGTAAACCGGTTTTCCACACGATCTTCCGTAATCCTAAATTCCATAAGCTTCATACTATTCTGAAAAACAACAAATCCGTTTTGAGACAAACAATTAAACTTTGTTCTCAGTATCATATTCAATAAGTTATTCAAATAGCAAGTAACAGACTGTGCCTATAAGTCTTTTATTAACAAGTAGTGACATTCATTCATAACTTCCTAAGTAACACAACAACTGTATTACCGAAACGGAGTGAAGAGTATATAATAACTCATTTGTGAACCCTATAACAGACACGTCACAAATCAGTATTAACTAAAAAACATGGTTGTGTCACCATTCTCACAAGAAACACCGATCGTTTTATTCATGAAGATTTTGTTCCTACTTGATGTGGTGTTATACACTATTACTGCAGACGTTCAGAAAGCCGCTGGACAACACTATAAACGTCAATTGTTACTCACATATTTTTTTCTCAGATACGTTACATAATTATGTCACTTCAGTACAAAACAATGGTACCTCTAATGGATATAACTTTTTATGGCTAAATACAAACAAGTTATATAATATTCACAATTAGGTTAACGCTTGATTGCTTCTACTTACATTTTATAAACAACTACCGACATCCATGTTCACCGTCACCGCAATCAAGGAGGTGAACCATATGTAAAAGATTTTACGGTTCATTTTCATGAAAACTCAATCTGTGATGTATTTTTTGACTAGAAACACGGTGAACTTTACTTGCTTGAGTTTGTATTGTTACAAATAACTATATTAAGCTAACTTCAGATTTACTTACGTGGTGAGCAAGAAATACGTCAAACTGCCAATAAATTGGAATAAAAACTATGTTACAAGCACTAGCAATACAGAAATTGATGTGTCATGCAAAAAAGCCTGTTAATAGCTGATAAATAACGACAGAAAAAATCCACGACAATATGTAACGTGTGCGCGAAAATCCGTGGCTTACCCCCTAGTCCGTGCCCACAATATACACAAATCAAAACGTATATACAGCACGAAGCGTCCTTGGGAAGCGTTACAAAATAGCATACTAAAAGACACAACGGAACAATAGCGTTTAAGATTCCCCCAAGTGAAAATTATGACATGAAGGTGAAAAGAGCGCTTTTGACGCGAAAACAAAGAAATCCAAATCTTCATAATAAAATTACAAAATCAGGACCTTTTTCAAGTGAGATCTGGGGATCTAACGTCCCCGAATATATGGTTTCAAAATATCTATATTGTAAACGGTTATTCAATTATGATATGTGTTCAAATAACACTTATATGCGGAATGCATTTTTTTGTTGTTGACCACAGCGCATAAATTTAATAATAATGTAAGAGTAGCAGACAAATTTTTATGTTCGTTTAAAATGTATAAAATAGTGATATTTGCCAAATATGTTGTACCGTACGTTTTTCCTAGATCTTGCTGTTGGTTTCCACATTCATTTGAACGACTCACGTGTGAAATCTTTCAATATAATTTATAAGATAAGAACTTCCTTGGTTGCTGAATTAAATGATACTCCAGAAACAATAGAAGATTGTTTAATCAACAGGAGAAAGACTTTTGTTTGATAAGCTTCTTCGTGCCACTTGAAATAGTCTTTTGTTATTTCGTAACAGAAAGTACTGATTAGTAGGTACGAATTACTGTTCCAAAACTTCTTTAATAAACAGATTATCTGTGACAGATCTTCTTAGCACAGTTAGGAATCGAAAATCTGTGTATATTACCCCATACAATTCAAGGTTTTCTACATCTTACTCGGAACAGACAAAGACGACGATGACAAAGGTTAAGTGGTAAAATATATTTGAAGTAATGTAAAGATAAAAGGAAGTGTCTTACTTATAGTATGTTTGGATGTGACTACAGTGCTTGATAGGAAGTCTTCAATTAACTGTGCAACTATTTTGAAAGTCTATGGGCTATTTACAGATAAGTATTGGAAAGTATTTGCCTTATACTTTTATACTTGTCACAACTTCCGAAATCAGCAAGTAAACGTTAAGCTGTCTGGGTTAAGTGTGAAAGGGAAGCTAACACCTCTTTGCACACTGTAAAACTAAATAGTTTTTTTGATAAAGCTTACTGCTTATTTTTATGTTCCAAGCACACGCGTAACTAAACGCTAAGGATCGCTACAAAATGAACTCTTGTTCTTCAGTGAAAATTTATACGTTCCAGATCAACTAAATGGTTGGAAACAATGATATAAACCACTCTTGGGTACCATATGTGTTATATCCGAACAACATTAAATGAACGATAGCTTCCGGGATTTATTTACGGACTACTATATATGTATTCTTACTGAATAATCATTGAGTAAACAGATTAGATAAAGCAATATAAATTTCATTATAAGCTTTCATTTGACCTACTACTATACGACTTTCCATTCTCAGTTTTTATTCCCAATCTATTAGTTCCAATCTTCCCACTCAAAACCACTTTTGGTTTAAACTTAAAAAGCTGTTACTTTTTAGTTTATAGTGTTATGCAGTCTGGTCTGCTTGTATACAAACTACGTATGTCTGAAATATATTATTTATATATTGTTTCTATACTGCAGTAGAAATGTATTGTAGCGGTAAATAAATCCCCAAAATAAATAGCTCTGCAAGTTTTCGACATTGGATGCTGACCACATGTTTTAATGGACTCATCTAGCTGATGGCGCTCGGTCATGCATCCGCACCAGATCACGTGTGGTAACGCTGTGCTCAACATCTACCGCAATCGCCAGCCAGATTAGACCAGAGAATTCCGATATATTGGTTATCGCCATATACACTCTTCCGATCTCCTCGACTCTGTCTTTTGATTTCTCTCGGTGGGTGCAAATTATATTAGGTGTTGCTGGTAAAAGCGTTGTCTAACACTGAATAGCTGTGTCATCTTCAGTATCTACTCCCCTCACCATTTCATTGAATGCTGAAGCATCAACCAAATCAATAGAAGTTTTCAATGTCCTGACAAATTTTTCTTCTTGACCATCAGTACAATAGTGTCTGGGGGCAGTAAACAGATGTTTGAACCCTTTACCATTCAACCAGGTAGTGACTGCATCCGCAGCAAAATGAGAGCCCTTATCAGTCATTAACAACATGGGAACCCCTTCTCGACTAAACGCCTTTCTTAATGCTTGGATTGTGAAGTTGTAATTTGGTGAAGTTGCAAAAAACACTTCAAGCCACTTCGAAAAAGAATCAGTGACTACGAGTGAATATTATTTGTCAAGAAATAAACCACGATGGCGTGCATGAGTTCTCTGACAAGTCTCAGACGAAACTGACCATGTCGAAGGCGGACTCCTCAACACATGACATTTCCACAATTGTTTGCTTCACTTATCTCTAGCCACCAGCTAGTGAGCTTTGTCAATGACTTCATTTTCTCAACACCCAAATGTTCACTATGAAGATCTTCAAGGGAAGATTTACGCAATGAAGAAAGAATAACAACACGATACATCTGCGATGAGATCTGGACGTCTCACCGGTAAAAGCTGCACAAAAAAACAGTCTAAAGTATTAACAGGTTTATATTGTAATGATTATGAAGAAATGTAGTCCACGTGTTGAATTTGTTTGACACTTCTGTTCTGAACCATATAGTCATATGCACTCAAAGAAATACTCCAACATTGAAACACAGTAGCTGAAGAACGTGCAAAGGCTTTTCCGGGACGATAAATGAATTTTAAAGCTTCTTGATCGGTAGCAATATTGAATCTCTTTCCGAATAAATATTTAGGAATTCTTTAAACAGTCCAATACACAGCTGAGTTTGTGTATAACCTTGTTCAGCAACAGTAAGTCTGTACGAAACACAGATAACCGGTCTACCTTTCTGCTCCAAAACTGCACCAATACTCACAGATGATGCATCAGTGATAAGTATAGAATATACACTAGGTGAATAAGTTAGAAAAACAGCGACACTTTCAAGAAATTTTAATGGACTTCGAAAGCATGACTTTATTTCCTCACTCCATTTAAATGAATTGGACGTGAAGATATAAAATAAACAATTGGCTTGACAAGAAAAATTAGGAATAAAACGAGAAAATGTTATTGAACAGCACCCACTAGTGAACGTGGTTCTGTAAGATTTCTTAGAGACGGTGCA